GTTCGTTCTCTGTATCTATGAGTATGTTTCTGTATTGCTTTGTACTAGTAATTTAAAAATATTTTTCCGGTACCAATTCTCAAAGTGGCCAAGAATATTAAAAACAAATAATGTATTTTATCAGCTCATCCCATTCTCTAGCTTGATATTTTAAAAATGTCATAACCTATCATTTCCTTTATTATCTTTAGGAAGTAGAAAAAACATTTTTATCTATCAGATAAATTTGACTTTAAGGAAATAGCTTGACTCTTACCTTTTACTCAGACATTCTCAGGAGTTCTGGCATTTTAATCAGAAACAAGTTCTATCTTGCTTTAGAAATAAAGTGTGAATTGTTGAGCCTTCAATATGTAACAGTGCATAGAGGCCCTTAAATGTCACTTGGTAACCTGCAGATTCAAATCTTAAAGCTATACTTTGAATACCAGAGCAGAATGTACTTTTTAATTCATCTTTCTTTATAGCCTCAAAACTGAAGATGATACTTGGACATAATGTGGGAACATGTGACAAAGTAATTTTCTGGGTAGAAATAACTTATTTTGATTATACTATAGTGATATTATAGAAGTTTTATGACTTTGAAGATATAATTATAATGTGCGTTAGATACTTTAGATCTTACAATATTGCTTCACTGAGCCAGGTTATAACAACCCTTAGTGCTTTCTGTAAACAAAGGAAATATTTTCAGTGAGGTTGTTTTCTAATGAGAACAATGTCATTAGATTTTATATTGTTGGTACTTCTGGGAAGTAGAAATAATGGTGCAACAGGTGATCAAGGACCTTTATGACCCTAAAATTGATGCTCCCCAGTGAGGTTCAAAGGACTCACATTTATAGGAACTGGTCACTTCTTGGGTCCTGCCCTTCCTTCTTTCCTTCCTTCCTTCCTTCCTTCCTTCCTTCCTTCCTTCCTTCCTTCCTTCCTTCCTTCCTTCCTTTTCTCCTTCCCTCCCTCGTTCCTTTTTCTTTCTCTCTTCCGCCCTTCTTTTTCTTTGTTGGAAGGAAAGACATTAGATGCAAGAGAAGGATGGAGAGAGAACAATGAAAACATAAACATACTGTTCCTAGGGGGTAAGTGGCAGTAGTAAAGTGAAGAGATCAACAAAGGGAAGGCTTAAGGTAAAGTAGGGGCTTGGTCTGGGGTTGAGAGCATGTGGGACATAAAAGTAGTCAGTAATAAAAAGAACCTCAGATCTGCACACATGTGGCAGTGTGGCTCAGTGGACAAGAATGATGTGGTAATGCGAAACTGCTCACAACCAAACAGGAGTGGGTTCGGTCTCATTTCCACCTCCAATTAGCTGCCTGCACTTGGGTACATTGGCTCTGGACTGTTGATTGCCTCATCAGTAATCTACCTGCTGAAGATGATTGCAGTAAAGCTCCTGGCATGAGGCCTAGTACATGGGAGAGATACAATAAAACATCCTAATTATTATTACAAGTAATTCATAGGTTGAGGGAGATTACATAATGGGAGATGAGCAAAACAACACACCATCCAGGCAAATTTCAGGCAGAGTAGAAAAATAGGCCATTTTGGTCTTTGGCAGTGCTCTGTGTTTCATGACATGCTTTACGGTGAATTATTCCGTGTGCCTAGAGCTCAGTGAAACAGCTCTTCTCCAGTCCCCTTGCTTAAAGTCTCCTTTGCATCATCCCAGTCTTTCCTTTTTCTCTTAGAAATTGTACTCTGGCGTTGCTTAGGAGAATCCCAGCATCAAAGGCCAGTTAAGTGTTTTAACAATCCAAAATTGCCTTGTAGCTGGAGATTCATCACCTGAGTTCTTCAGATCTATCATGGTTGGGCTTTGTGAGTGAAGGTAGAGAGGGTCCCATAACCCTGGTGTTTTATACACAATTTTGTGTGCATAGGCATCTTTCTGGTGAGAGGGTATGTAGCTTTCATTAGATTTCCAAAGGGACATTTGACCTCCTAAATTTTATGAACTCTGGAATAATTCCCTGGAGTACAAAATAATTGGCAATGCTTTAAAGAACTATAAAATATATTCTAGTGCTTGCTCCTTAAAGTGTGGTGTTTAGCAAGCATCAGCAACAACAACCTGGGGTGTGGTAGAGATGAAGAATCCTAGTTTATTGAACGCCAGTCTGTGTTTTACAGCATGGTCTCAAATGACTCTTCTGCGTATTGAAACTTGAGAAGCCCTGTTCCAGTGGTCAAGGGATCGTGCCCTGTATTCTAGATTTGTACTCTAGCGCTGCCAAACATATGCAATGTTAAATTGTACCAAAGTAGTCAGAATTCCACAGTCTGACAACAATCAGCTGCTGACTGGCCAAATCACTGAACTCACATGGGTCTCTGTTTCATCTGTACAGTAGATTAGTCCTTGTCCAGCTCTAAATTCTGAGTTTACCTTGTCTCTCACACACTTTTTATCACCCCTTCTCATCTACTGAAGTATTATCTTTTTGTCAACACTCACCAAATATCTTCTAAACCCTGAAGCCCAGACTGTTTTGTTCTTCTTTGAACCTCTATTATACTTTCTGTATCACTCAATCGATCACTTTGTTTTGTGCTGATGTTTTTTTCTAGTTGTTTGATTTACATCTTTCACTTTGAGTTGAGGGACATCCAGGTTCCTCTTATTAATCTCATCGTAGCACAGGGCACGTAGCAGATGCCCAGTAAATCTTTGAAGACGGGATGCCATATTTTGAGACAGGATGTCTATAGATGACACACTGGATATTCTCAATCTCATTAATTTAGTCCTAAATTGATCATGTTAAACCATATATTTTGTAGTGAGATAAATATGAATTATATTAAATTAAGCTATTCACAAATGTCAATATTGGCTCTTAAATCAATAAATTCTGGTTGTTGCTAACCCAATTGAATAGGTTAAGAGAGAAGAAATGTATTGAACTATACTGCCTCTCAAAGTTTCCTGGCCTTTACTAATTATTTGGAAATGTATATATGCCTATATGTACACACACACGTATGTATATATGTATGCACATGCTAGGTTGCCGTGTCCTACACAACCAACAATACAAAACCAACACTGTGGTGTTTACTTGGAGAAATTTTTTTTTATTTTGACAACTTTTATTGGTAAAAAAAAAAACTTTACACATATCTGAAAATTTTGTCATTATAAATGTATTTGAAAGTTAGAAGGATAAAATATTTTTATATTACAATTTGTCACTTGACTTTTACCTTTTAAACATTGAGATACACGGTGTGTGGTGTGGGCCTCCCTTTGTATGTCTGCCCTGGGCTCTCTGTTGGGGTGAAGTTGCCATCAGCCTAGGGGTGGGAGTGGCTTTCTGCTCTCAACTTCCTGTCACTTGTTTGGCTGCTTGGTTCTTTCATCACCCTTTCATTTTGCACAATAAGCAGATAACATGCATATTTTTAGAAGTCCCTTCATTTTTTACATAAAACGTAGATTTATGGGTTGAATAGTGTCTCCCCAAAAGATAGGTTGGAGTCCTAACCCCTGCAATCTTAAAATGTAACATTATTTAGAATCATTCTGATTGTGGGTGAAATTAGACAGGATGCGGTCATGCTGGAATAATTAGACTCCCAATTTTAATACGACTGTTGTCCTTATAAGAAGAGAGAAATTGGGAGACAAAAATCTTGAAATGACAGAGGACCTAAGACTCCTGTGTTAGAGGAAAAAGGACACTATTGCCCACAGCACAGCCAGCGGCATGAGCATGAGCACATTCACATCCGTCCCCCTTACACACAAGTCCCACAGGGGACAAGTCCCACAGCGTGGTGGTCCCAGGTGAATGCTTGCACATGCAGTGGCTTGTGTGACAGAAAAGAAACCCCAGGTTTAGAGAATCTGAATCTTTTAAACTGGAGTGGATGCATGTTTGCCTTTCACTCTAGAAGGAGACATTATTTTTCTTAATCTGGATAGTAAGTGTGCCCACATTTTGTTGCAAAGTGAGACAACTTCTCTACATCCCAAGGTTCCTTCCTATGCCAACATCCTAGAAGAGATAGTCTAGAACAAAGGGAGTCAGTGGTTAGTTTCAAAAGAAGTGCGGGGATTCCACAGGTCTGTTGAGAATTGTCTTCCAACAGTGTCACTCTTGAATCTATGGAGTTTGTCGACCTTAACTATTTCTAAGGGCCATTCTATTAAAGCAACTCTCTTTAAGTTATGCAAAGTTACAACATCCTTCTTTGTGTAAGGCAGGCATTTGATTTTGAGGCCAAACCAGAAATCCTTCAACTCTGGACACAAATCACTGAGCAAAATATATTGGAGAACTTCCATCTAACCATGGAAGACAGCAGTGGCTGGAAGTTGGTGAAAGATCATCTATAATCTGCCTTTGCCTTTGGAGCCTGAGTCTGAAAGAAGAGAAAGCTTTTCCTGACAAAAGAGTCCTCACTTTGCTTGCTTGGGAAATGGGGTTTTGCTCCCCATCTTCTGCTTCTGGGTCATCGGGGATGCAGGAACAGCCGTTTTACCGGAGTCTCTAGTTCTGCCTGTGAGTCTTGGCCAGGCATTGAGTCCTGGCCATTTCACTCTGAAACATTCTAGACCAGGCACAACTTGCATAAACCGAGGTTTGAACATGAGCTAAATCTCTGAGAGCAGCAGATGGCTGCTAAGCTCTTGTGCGCCTGCTTCAGACCCAGGAGGAAGAACCCAGGAATTTGGCCAATTACTCATCTTAGAACTCCAGAATCACATATAATTACAGTAATTAATATTTTTCCTGCTATGTGTCCCAATTAAAAAATAAGTTCAAGGTAGCCTTAGGTTGGGTAAAAGTTCAAATGTGGACTTTGTTGTAACTTTTCACTGTAAGTTCTTTAATGGGAGGTTGGGGGAGGGGTGAGTGACTTGTTTTTTTAAGTACCGGCTTGTGTTATCATAATGAGTTTAATTTTTATCTTTATATTACAATGGCTCTGTTTTGCTAATATCTTACGAGAAATCAGTTAAAGATTCTTTTCCTTTTTTTTTTAATCAGTTGCCTACAATGCATCTTTAGATGCTATCATTTCCAGCACAACCAACAATACAAATACTGTGGTGCTGGCTTGGAGAGAGAAATCAAAAAAACATCTTCAAATGACATCCCTCAACATTGCCCAGGGCATTCATGCTTTTGATTACCACTCTCGGCTCAATTTAATTGGTATGTAAAATAAATCATGATAACTATGAGGGCCTCGTAAAGAGTCTGGATGCCTATTGGTATGCATGAAGCCTCTCCACCTTGTTGCTTTATTGCCAGAGAGACCAACTTGAGAAGCTTACATTTTATTGCCTGAGAATGTCTGATAATGATGTATTAAAATGTGCGGTATACGTACACACACTGAGGTGAAAACATGAGAAAGCGAGCCAAGGTTTTAATTAGTGTTTTTATTTGCATTGGTGAGGTAGTAAAATGATATTCAGAAATAAGACAGTCTGCGCAGTGTCCATTTACCATCGTCCTAACACCACCAAAGCTTGACCCCACATACATCATTTTCCTTGCTCCTCACCCCCCCACACATACACACGTGAACTGCAAAATGTAGACTGTTTTCAACTTTTAGAATACAACTGCTAATGATTTTTTAAAAATTTCAGATTATCCTAGCTTTAGTTTATTAAAGGATACTTTTTCTTTTGATATAAAAGAATATATTGTAGCTGAGGGAATCAGTTGTAAAGATTTTCAGACCTTAACTATGTGATATATAGACATTTTGAAAGCTGAATAGTGTGACATGTATAATATTCGTTCAAGTATTGTAAAAAATGTGAGGTAAGGTTGAAAAATTAATAAAAGTAGTTATAGAGAATGAACATATATGGTGTATAGAATGGGTCTTATTAATCCTCATTCAATCATTATCATTTATATAAAGAGTATTGATAGACTCTTAGCTAGAGGGCTGATTCCCTAAATTCCCCAACAATAATAGCTGACAACAATAATAGGCCCAAATTAAAATTTCAAAGAGTATTGTAATGTAAATTTATTAGAGAATGCTGGAGGCCTTGGTGAATTGACTTTGGAAGGACTCAAATATCAACCATTCCATCGATAGATTGATTAATTACTTCAACTGCTTTCCATAATCACTACTTTGTACCTGGCACACTGCTGAAAAAATAAGGGCAAATAAGCTCAACTCTGAAACGAAGGCACCACAAAGGATGCTCTTCTGGTTTCTCCCCACACCCAAAGATGCACTGTGTTCCCTGCTCCTGACCTGCTCTCCTAATGCAGCCAATTTATGTTAAAAAAAAAAATAAACCTTATTCTCACAGTAGAGCAGGTCAAAAATATATTTGTGTTTCTTGTTTGCTTATAAATACTCAAATATTTACACAACAGGGAAAAATTAGTTTGTTTCCTTATACTTTTTAATTAGTTTGAAAACTTTAAATATTGTTTTAGTTCTTTCTTAGTCCTGGGATAACTTGAACATTTCTATTAAATACATTCCTAGGGCATGCTGGCTGGAGGGCAGAAATATGAGGACTAGAAAGCAGGATTTTGTCCCCTCTTGGCTAGGCAAGGGACTGTATTGTCCTTTCACCTCATGAGACCCCCCCCTCCCCTACTCCCTCAGTTTCAGCTCTTTCACATGATGAAACTCATGCCCTGTTACTCTGGGCTGTTAGGCAATGACAAGATTTTCCATCCTTTAAGCCAGAATCCATTGCTGCTCAGAAAGCATTTACCTGCAGACATATTTTTTTATGATCAATTCATTTCAAAAAGAATATGTGGTTTATTCATGTTATTAAAAAACACTTTTTTTTCTGATTCTGATTAGCCACTGCTGGCATTAACAATAAAGTTTGTCTATGGAACCCCTAAGTTGTCTCTAAGCCAGTTGGGGTCCTTTGGGGTCACTCAGCCAGTGTTATAGCTGTTCAATTCTTTGTTGCAAGAAAACAACTTTTCAGCTTCTCCCAAGATAAAGTAAGTAACATTGTGCATTTATTTAGTTCTGCCTCTTCAGTTCTATCCAAATCTATCCTTGATCCTAGATTGCTCTGAGAGATGGTTTAGATTTTAAAATATACTAACTACCGTGTCTTTGGAAATCTCGTATATTTGGAAAAGATATCAATGATCACTTAACAATTGTCCTGGGTAACAGGACAATTAACTTTTTTTCAAACCATGCACTCATAAATTTAATTCTTATTATTGAGCTCCTAATAAGTCATATCTTAAGGGTTTCAAAGTTCTAACTAATTCAATAGGAAAACAAAAACAAAAATGGGGATGAAGAAATGCTACTTTGGTAAGACACGGCAAATTGGCTATTGTTGCTCCGATACTGAAGAGATTCAGTAAGAAATTAAAGTTAATTTGAAGAATATCAAGTACATTAAGAACATTTCAATTAAGTATATCAAGTCATTCCTATTTGACATTGATGGGATATTTTAAACATGAAGGAAAAATAAGGCACTGGAACCAGATAGTCCCTTTTGAACCCTAACCACATTATTTACTACTTATCCTCTAAGAATCTTGTCATTTGTTCCTTTGTAAAATTTCCACCTTACCTGATGCTTGATATCTGGATCTAGTTAACATGTGACAGATTTCAAGACACCTGGTTGTGAAGAGAAGGGTGGGCAATAGTCTTATTGGGGACAGCTTCTGAGACTCAGCAAATCTGACATTTTGTTTTAATCTAAAGTCATATGTAAAAACCAGAAATTGATCTACAACTCCTAACCTCACCTCACCCATAAGTCCTGCCAAATGAGCATATTTTACTGTGTACCTATCACATAAATCCTCTCTCTTTCCTTTAAACGTCACCAACAGCCAATTCCTGTTGGTTATACTGTCGAAATATGTTTGTATCAGCCTCACTTCTCCCTCTCAACTGCCACTGCTCGAATTCCAAATCTCATCTTCTTTTGCTCGAAATACTACAAAGTTTTCCTAACACATCTCCCCACCTTCAGACTGGTCTGATTTCAATATGCCCTCCATTGAGAAATATGCTTCAACCTCTCATCTTTGCCCTCGGTCTAAATATCAATTCTAGAATTCTTGAACTTTTATACAAAGCCCTTTCCTGCCTTCCTCTTCCATTCATTTAATGCTCCAGCCCCATCAAGCTCCCGGCTGCTTTCACTGTGCTGTCCTAGAACTTTGCAGCAAGTTCTTCCTTCTACCCTCAATCCCCTCTCCTCCCTGATCAATTAGCAATGTCCTATTTACCCTGGACATTGCAGACTTTTAGGAGCCCTTCATGCTTATCTAGGTGTTTCCTTGCACTCCCGTTGTAACCACATATACCTTATTAGGGTCTGCATCACGTTGTGCTGGAACTGTTATTAGCTTTCTTAGGCAGGATCAGGATCTTTTAACCTTGTATAGTATCACAGTGTTTGGCACCTTGCAGTGTTTGTTCAATGATTATTTGTTGACAGCTTGACGTGAATCTCAACCACCAAAGAAACTCAGAGTGAAAACTCTTTTGGATGCCCTAGTCAGATTTAGTTGTTTTGTTTTTTGAGATCTCTTAGCACTTTATTCTAACTTCCATTATTGAATTTAAGACAATCTAACTTGTAGACTCGAGGTTGTATATGTACATTATGTCTTTCACTACACTGAGTGTTTGACATCAAAGTTTTTTTTGTTGGATTCATTTTTGTGTTTCTCAGGACCTCACAAATATTAGTGCACATTAAACACATGTTAAAATGATAAGATGTGAAATAGTGTAATTGTCAACTAACTGATAGAATTTGTGAAGTTAGGGACTATGTCTTTTATTGATTGTGCATACATATAATAGGTCTTTGATAATTCTTGAGGAACTAATAAATTTGTTTAGCAGTTAAATGAACAAATCTCTATTAAACATAAGTATAAAACAAACACCAGGCATTTTATCATTACAAAGTTCTCTGAAAAGTTTTATAACTTTAAAAGCAAGTGAATAAAATGTTTTTAGAGTCAGAATTGATTGTGTGCAGTTATTACCAATGTTAAGACTACCTGGCCTCTTCCAAGCACTTTTATCATTTTATTTTTTGCTTTGGCTTCTAAACCATTATATTATAATAAAGCTTGTCATGCTTCCTTTCGCATCAGTCCAGATCCATTTCACTTTGATAAATGTGTAATAATCTCAGTCTTTATGTCTTCACAACAAACAACAGGGTTTTCTCCTACCAGGTTAAGCCTCTGCTTTATTGCCATAAAATTATTTTGGATGTTTTATAGGACTGGCGATAAATTCGAGAACAGGGAAAATGAAAGAAAGCATCCTTTTTCCAAAAGAGGCTTTGAGTGATCCAACCATGTTTTGGCCAATGAGTTGCCAAATTAGAAGATTTTTAGAGCAAAGCAATATATTCACATATCTCAATAATTTCCTCCCAAACTGATCTGAGACCAGATCTCTTTTGGAAGGCTGCTCTATTGCCACTTTCCAGCAATGAATAAGCCGTAAGTTTATCCCTATAGAATTTGGTAGCATATTAAATAATTGCCCAGTTACATTTTTGTTTTGGAATCCTAAACTGTCTCCTAAGATGGCAGTCACTGATGGCAAGACCCTGCTGGAAGCCAGCAACTTGGTCACTTGAAGGAGACCATGGGGGGTGAGAGGATTTCCCCCGGGGGACTTTCTCTGCTGGGGGTTGATATTCCAGCCAGTGAACCCGATTGGGCTTTTCTATTGTACCTAACCCTTCTCTCCTGGGCTGCTAATCCTGACTTGGACACCAGAAACAAATCAGTTTCTAACTTAATCCTTTGTTTGAGGTTCCAATTTTGCCCAGGGCCTGGTTTCTATATTGGAGGCCCAAGGATGGTAAGGAAAATACATAATTAGACTTTCATGTGCGTGTCTCCATCTCACCTGTTTGTCCTCCTTTCCCTTCTGTATCCCCGTCCTTCTCAACATGACTGTTCTATTTACCCAGAAACGGTCATTTTCACTTTGTCTTAATTACCTAAGTACAAGGATTAATGCCCCCATAAAAATTACATGTTAAGAAGCATGTAGTAAAAAAGGGAATATTCTTCTTACTAATTTCCCCTTCAAATCAATTCCTCTCCTCCCAAATAGCTATTACTAACAGTTGAATGTGTATCTTCTTATATTACTTTATTGCTATTTAATATATTGTATTATATTGTGTTATAATATGACATTTTATAATATATTAACATATATTCCATTCTATCTGTGTATACAAATACAGCAAAGTATTTATTATATGTTCTCTGGTAAATGGTATAACATAAGTCATATTTTCCTGCAACTTGCTTTTCCCTAAATAATCTCTTTTAGAGCTCTTCTATGTGAGTATATACATAGACATGAATTTTTACCTGTTACATAGTAATTTATAGTATGGATGGCCATAACTTAGTTATTTAATCACCTTTATGTAAAAAAGATATTGTTTCTATTTTTTCACCTTTATAAACCAACTATCACACACATATACATACCATTAACATTTTATAAGTAAATTTCTTTGTGATACGTTTCTAGATGTTATACTATGGATGGCGTCAACAGGGATGTGCTTCTTAAAGAATTTTCATAAATATTGGTGATTGCACCTCAGAAAGTTACACTAATTGTAATATTCATCAGAGGTGTATATAGGTCCTCAATAAGCCATATTAGTATATAATTGGAATGTCATTGAATTTGGTATTTAATATCCTCCACATATTGAGAAAGCATATCTTGTATTTACCTATTTATTCATTCTTTTAGCTGTTTTTCAGAAAAAAAATTATGCATAAATTTGTTTCCTGTTCTTTGTTCAGGTTTTTTCTTTCATATTTTAGGAGATGCCCTCATCATATATACTCTTAACTTTAAAAGGGGTGTTTCTGATGGGGCATGTCTACTTTCCATGTAACCCCTACATTAAGTTTTTAATTTTAACTTTTTTTTTTCCTAAAACATTTTAAAACTCCTTGGCAATTTTGAATAGTCTTTCCTTTTTGCTCATTTTGGGGATTTTTGACTTTCAACTGTTTAATATTGTATTAATTATTTTCCATTCTTATCTAATAATTCCAATATCTGGAGTCCTTGGTGATTCACCTCTGATATTTGCTATTTTGGTGATTCTCCCTCAGGGTGACTTGTTCCCTTTTAGGCTTGCTTATCTTTCGTTGTTTCCCTGGTTTATTTGCTGTTGTTAAAGTACAGGCATTCGTAGGAACTAAGTTGAAGACGTGTTCCTCCAGAGGAGATGTGTCTGTGTTCTTGCATTGTGGAAATGAGGAAAACTCCGTCCTGCGGCTGCTGCGTTCTCTTCCCCGTTGTCCAGTTTAAATGAACATACTCGCCTCATTGCCTCCACCTTGCTGCTGGTTCATGGCTTAGGCTCCTGGTTGCAGTCTCTGCTTTTATGCCTACTGTTCACTGTATCATCTTAAGTTTTTTATTTTTTTGTCTCTTTCTTCTTGTAGAACAGTGAAGCCTGTCCCTGCTCCCTGAAGACCCAGCAAGGCAGTCATGTTTTATTCAGAGTTGTGGTTTTTTGAAGCAGGAAGGCCCCCTACAAAACTCTCCTCTCCAGTGATACTTGAACCAGAGTTCCTTTGTTCTTCAAAACTGTTGTTAGTATAAATATTAGGTAGCTTAAAAAAGAAAGAAAAAACTTCAAGTGGTAAAATTTACTTTGTAAAATAAAGGAAGAACTGTTATCTTTGAAAAGCAAAGAAAGAATTTTTTTTTGAAGACCAGCAAAAATTCTGTTATATTTTTTTCAGTGATGTGTGAGTAATGAGAATGGCAAAAAAGCAATTTAATCAAAAATTTAAAATTCCCTTAGTGAACTTTTGTTCTAAAAAAGAAAGCACCTGAAATAAGATGTGGATGTAAGTTAGATTTATCACCAGATTTGAACTGGGAAATGAATGAGATTTCTACAGAACAATTCATAGTGTTAGAAGACATTTTGAGTTTTTCAGTGTCAACGACAGAATACACAAACAGATACTTCATAAAAATCTGGGTCCTAAAGCTGTATGTCTTCTTTCATTTTTGTTGAAAAGAACAAACAAAAAAAGGAGAAGAATAATGGTTATGACAACAATTTAAAAATGGATAACACAAGAGAAGATTTTAATTTGTGACTAATAACCTGTTTGACTAAGTGTCAGAAAAATGATGAAAATATTTTTAAAGGAAGATTTGTTATATGACTTTAAGATAAAAATGTTAGCTGAGGCATTCTGCCAGCTCATATCATGTCAAACAAAATTACCTTTAAGTATTCACTGATTATGCTTTTGTGGATTATCCAAAGGCCTAATTCTAAGTAAATAGACTTGTTAACACATAAAGGTGTATTCAGGAGAGACAATGCTCCAGTTCCTGTTATCTTATTATGTGCAAGTAGGCTACCCATTTTCGGGGATTACGCCTGGAGATCTGAGCTGCTGTGCGGCTGTCCTCAAAATCCTCCCTAGCAATACATATTTTCTCTCTTTTTATTGTCATTTTATATCCATCTCCTACAGGATGGCAGGAATTAGTAATAAATATTTGATGAAACCAAACAAGTCTCATGTCCATAGTCAACTGAGCCTGCCTTCTACTTTTCCCTCACTCCTATATTAGTATTAGGAAATTATCATTTCTTTTCCCTAACTACTTTGAATTATATTTGGACATGTTGCCAATATGTAACTAATCTTGACCTGGCTTCCAAAACTGCACTGAAAACAGATTATCCATGTATCTATTCGTAAACCTATCTTATCTATGATGTTATCCATTTATAAATGTAATATTTATAGAACTATATTTAAACACTTTAAATTTCATTTTTTGGATGAACCTGAACATTTTACATTTCTTCCTTTCTTCTTCACTTTACTCAATAATATACTAACAGTAGCTTTGAAGGAAGGAAGTAAAGACAATTTTATTTACTCCTTTATTTACTGATTATTTATTTGTTATAGTTTTTTAAAAGATCTTATTTTAGAAAGAGGGGAAAGGAGGGAGAAAGAGAGAGACGGAAACATAGATATGAGAGAGAAGCATCAGTTGCCTCTCCTATGCACCCTGTACAGTGTCCAAACCGGCAACCTAGGCACGTGCCCTGACCAGGGATCAAACTGGTGACATTTCTCTTTGCAGTATGATGCCCAGCCAGCTGAGCCATATATGGTCAGGGTTGTTTGTTGTAGTTTTATTATGCCTATATGAAATGATTCTGCCCATCCACAGAAAGTGGGGATTCTTCAAGAGAACTAAACTGATAACATGGTGATGTCCATTTCTTTAGTCATTGTTCCTGATACACCTGCCTGAGTCTGTTTGAATTGTTGTTATTTTGGAATCTGTAGATAATGAGTTGGGAATTTCAGTACATTCAAGAATAAATAGCCAGAACTTCAGAGCTGACAGGGGCCCATTTGGTAGAAAGATGAGGGAATGGAGAGGTATCATCCCATATCTAAACTGAGTAGGATAAAACTAGAATCTGGATGTCTGGAGTCTCAATACACTGGTTTCTAGTCCTACTGTATATAAGTAATACAGTATTTGCATTATTAAACAGCTAACAGTTGAAAAAAGATAAAGATTAAGCAGAAAAGCTATCATCATCTTTATGTGAATAGCTTAATTGTACCTTGATAAAATAAAATCGTAAGCTTGGATACTTATTCCTCATAATATAAAATGAAGATAAAGTAGAGAGTCCTAAATTATGGCATTTTAAGGACTTTGTTTGGTAAATCTTAGTGTCGGCAAAATCATAAGTTCTTAGTAGTTATCATGATATAAATAGAAATAGTACAGTTTAGACAAAAATTTGTGGAAAATATTTTTAAACAATGATTATTTAATTGTAATTTTTAAGCTTAGGTGTTGCTTAATTTATATATTTCTCCCTCAAAGAAAAGAAAAAACCTCTAAGATATCTAGAATAAAAGTTGATATTAAGTATAGTCCTTTCTGAGCTGTGGCTTAATTCTTTTCTAAAAGTCAACTTGAATATAAAAGAAGAAAACCCAGGATTCACAAATATTAAGTAGATATTTAAGTGACATTTGTCAAAGGACTGGATTAATAAAACTTAATTAATGTGAGATATTTTTCATGATTACAAGGATATAGACTAATTAAGAAAGAAAGACAGTTATTTGGTTTAAAGCCAAGCCACATAATATTACTGATTAAGCTGAGACTTAAGTTTTCTTGTTTAAGGAGATTAGCATTGACCTTAGAACCAAGTAGAGAAGTTAGGATATAATACAAAGGAAATACCTGGGAAATTTAAAGGATTCTAATTGAATTGGCCTTGGAAAAGAACCCAAGCAGAGATAATTTTTAAAGCACCACAGGTGTTTCTAAGGTCAAGGTTAAAACCGCTGGCATGGAATGTGGTGGTACAGGGAAAGTTGAAGGGTTAATGGGAGGCCACACACCATGGCATGATTTCTAGGAGAATGCTGGAACACCGTTACACGCGCTCATGGCAGTTCATCTGTGCTGCTGCTTCGATTCTTAGCAAAGAGAAAAATTTAAGAATTGAAGATAGAAGGTGGACTTAGTGGGATCATTAGTTGAGAGAGTTCTCCAGATAAAGAAGGACAGAAAAACAATAAAATGTATTTTAAGAAAAATGAACAAATACACACATTCTGATAAAAATTTATAATTTTAAATACTAATAGCAAGAAGTAACCTGTCATAGACTAGAGAGGTTATTGCTCATCTATTTCATATTTTTATTTAATTTATATGACTAAATGTCAATGAGATATTAAAGCCAATATAAATTATTTGAACAGCACAGTGGAAAATGATTCTGAGAGAATTATAGTCCATTAAAAACTGTTGAGTTATTTTTAATCTATATTCAACTATGCCCCCAATTATTATTCTGACATAAAATTAATTCTTATATTTTAGAACAGGGTCCATATTAAGTAAGACAGGATCTTGGACAATGAGAGCAAGACTGTCGTAAGTTATATGAGTGTTTGAGATCTAACTGGGAATAATCTTAGAGCTTTAAAATTCAAAAAATACTTTATTTTACTTATATTTAGAACACATTGAAATCTATTTGCACATCTTGGTTCTTGTAGAATCTGTGTTTCTGAGGATAAACATCTTCTGAAGAGCTTCCAGAATATTTAAATAAAAATAATTCAGTAATGATTAAGAACTGGAATAAGTTCTTTAATAAAAAATTATTGCCAAGAAAACCAATTTACTTTATAAATATACGAGTTAGGGAAAAAGTTGTGAGTACATAGAGCACCAAGTTTATTTTTGTATTATTTATTAATTATTGTATTATTTTCTATATGAACAACTGTAAACCTACATTTGCCCCACCTTGTGTATTCTTGGGACTAGAAGGATTGGTAATGCTGTTTAATAATTTAGTATGTCTGCTAAAGTTTGTTATAGTGTTGGTAGATGGAGGGGTTACCCTATGTACATCAAGCATAATTATTTCTGCAAGATATTTGAAACATTTGCATAAATATCACTGTAGATTATATGAGGTCTGCAATTAGATGAATAACCATGTAGAATAAATTGACAGTGAAGTACAGAACCAAAATTAGAACCCAAGAAGTCTGGCCCTAGGGCTTGTCTGCTGGTCCCCTTTGGATGGGTTTTTCGCTGTCTTCATTTTGACTCAGTTTCCCTCACTCACCTGTGTAAATTGTGTACTATGACTCACAGCAGCAACACTTGTATCTGCAAAGCTGCTCTTTGCATTTTTCTGTGTAATCTTGTTTTATCTTTGTATCTTGATTGTGCTTCAGTGAGAGTCTAATATCTGTGGATTATTTGAACTTGATATCATTTAATACCATTTATTATATATGTATATATGTATGTACATGGGTGTATATATGAAGAGAGAGAGAGAGGCTGTATAATTTTTCTATTGCTACTTTGACAAATCACTACAGACTTGGCTTGAAATAATACAAAATTATTTTGTGTTCTGGGCTAAAATCAGTGTGTTAGTGGAGGCTCTGGGGAAAAATGTTTCCTTGCTATTTCTAGCTTCCTTGGCTACAGGCCCTCTTCCTCCAACTTCAAAGTCAGCTCCCTTGAGATTACATTGGATTCACCCAAATCATCCAGGATAATCTCTCCACCTCAAGTCGTTAATTTGTCACACCTGCGAAATCCTCTTACTGTGCAAGATGACATAGTCACACATTCCAGGAATAAGACAGGGATGTCTCTTGGGATCATTAGTCTGCCTACCACCAGCCCCTACTAAATGCCAGGCACTTTTCCAGGGACGGAGACACAACACAATCCCTTCCCTCGAGGAGATTACAATTGATGAGGTATTTAGATGGACAAGGGAAAAGCAGTCTGCTGTGACAGAAGTGTGAACAATCAGAGCCCTCTGAGGAACAGCTGTCAGCCTGGGGATGAGGGTGAGGCAGAAAAAATTTGCCCGAAAAATTAGAATCGTTCTTGACTTACTCGTATGACTCTACCACTTTCCATCCAGGTTTTGAGACTCTCGGATGTCCAGCACCAGCTCTCCATCCAGCGAACAGTGTGTGCTTTCCCCAGATGCCAGGACTTCAGATGCCTCTTCCACTTTGATGAAGCCCATGGCCGACTTTTCATCTCATTTGATCACCAGCTAGCATTGCTGGCAATGGAGAGGGAAGCCAGCAAGAGAGTGAAAAGCCCCAAGAACGCAGTCACTGTGTCCTTTACAATTCAGTCTTGAAGCAGGTAATGATGCTTTTCTGTCACTCTGCCAATATGTCCCTGTATCCAGAGGCTCATTTCCTTAATTCTATCTAAAGTCACTGAGGACAAATATAGGAAAGGAAATGCGGGAAAGAAATGAGTTAATAGGCATGTGCTTTTCTGCAATAATGTGTGTTCAGGTGGATTTGAAGATGATTTCATTTCAGCCAGTGACCACCGCAGCGCTGATAGAATTATAAGAAATGACAATATTCCAGCTAAAAGAAACACAACACATAATGTGATCGAACTTATCTTTGTTACCTGCTAGCTTGGGCCTTGATGGGAAATGCAAGTAAACCTGGTTGTAAAATTTTCTTTTATGAACACCATCTTCCTGTATCCCTGTGGAAAGTTCTGAAATATTCATGAAATGTAATTAGCAGAGATCCATTTTGCCAGCATATTTTACACCAGCGGCTCACAGTGGCAGCCCGGAATGTATTCATAATAAAATGATTCCGTTAAACGTGGCGCCACTTGGTATGCAGCATGAGTGCTGTTTGTCTCCCCACCACTTTAATGAAGCTCTGCAGCCTTTGTTTATGGGAGCACTACCTGCATGTCAATGAAGAAGCCTGCTCTCCTGGAGCAGAGGTGCCGCCCAGAGCACAGGCCTTCTTAGACGACAGGGAGGGCCAGTGTAGGGGGTCTCAGGGAGGGAGCGGGCCCCCCTCTGCTGCCATGATCACCTCAGGCATGATTGTGACAGCACAGCAGGAGCCCAGAAGATTGCCACTATCCAGCTCGCAGCCGATTAAACAATAACTCCAACCCATCCTTGCCTTCCCTTCAGCAGAAGCCTCTGCAGTCAGGCAGACTTGAGGAGTTCAGGTTTTGTGCAAGGGGCGGAAAGCTGTTTGTTAGTAATGAGTATGGTGTCATGTCACTACTTCAAGCATTCTGTGTTCTGATTATTCTAGGAGATAAAACTCCTTTACAAAACAATCCATTTTGAATTCCATCTGTGGGAATTGTTCCACCATAAATGTTTTACTGAACTTTATGAAGGCAACCAGTTCATACGGCTCCCGGGTGGCCACTGAGCGATGTATTTGTTTCCAGGAGAACATTTTGCTAATTGAGATCTGCAAAGTTAAAAAGCTAGGTTTGTGCTTAGATGTTAAGATCCTCTATTGCCTGGCCATAAGATGAGCAATATTTCCTGAGGAGTTCGGGAAATGAGACACAAAGAAGATCTGGACTCTTCCATTTAGGATGTGAAGATAAAGCCAAAATAACACAAATACATACAAGTTATAGGCAATGAGAGAGTATGCACATATGGTATATGATGTAGGAAAAATCACTGTACAATTAAGCTGAGTATTCATATCTCTTTATTTTTGCTGTTGATAGTGTAAATAATTAAAAACATTAATATGTATATAAAGCACATAGAGCTGGGTACCATATATGTAAGTGCTTCCTAACTATTAGCTGCTAAGTTATAAAGAAACACTTTAACATCGTATTATATTTATAAGTATTAAAAAGGAATTGGCAGTTAAGTCAAAGAAAACAGTATTGCCCACAGTGTCATCAACCAGTGGTATTTATTATTTTAGAATAACTAGAGAAAGCAAATAAAGTAGCTTTGAAGAAATACCAAGAGCCAGGACTGAGGGAAACTCAGTCTTTAAGAGCAGGTTCAGGGTGTCTTCCTGGTGCTCACTGCTCAGTAGGTCCTCAGGACTGGACTGTGGGGATGAAAAAGGGGGAAGCAGACCCATTACCAACTCTCAAGGCCACAGTGGAATTCAATATCATGAGGTAGAGGTAAGAGCAAAGTGCTGCTCATAGCAGGTGATCGATTCTGCCTGGGACTGGGGTGGATGACATCTCAGCAGAGCCCTGGAAGCTGGAAGGAGAATCTTTCAGAGGAGAAGGAGATAGCTCCAGACAGAAAATACAACCTGAGACCCTGCCGAGAGTCTGGGGCACTCACCGTGCAATTACAGGGAAGGGGGCCATTCTGGCGCGGCCAATGTGGGAGCACTTGGTGAATGTGGGAGCTGGAGCAGTAAAGGGAGCTTAGAGATTGTGAAGGTCATTCACTGAAGGCACCGCAGTCTGGTCTTGGAAAATTTTTTACGTACAGACTTGGCGTTAAAATACTAATTCTCAGAGTGATCTCAGACCCCAGGGGACTGAGATCCTCTCAGGGAATCTGTGAGATCAAAACTCTTTCCATCATAATATTAATTTGTTGGGTGCTTTTTTCATTCTCATTGTCTCCATCAGTGTGGAGTGGAGTTTTCTAGAGGCTATGCAGTGAGGGATTACATCATTGTTGTGATGTCCAAAGGAATGTATGTTTTTGTATTCCTGTACCTTAGCAAATTCTCAGTTTAAAGTTCTAATTATGTAAATTACCTATTCTATATATGTATGTATGTAGGTGTGTACATATGTATGTATGTATCTACTTATGTCTTCCATAGGCATAAAAGCTATTTGTCTTCTTCAATAATTTTAAGTGTAAAGGGACCCCAAAATCAAAGGTTTAGAGAACCTCTGGGTTAGAGCAGTCAGAGTTCAAATATTGGGCAGATTACTTACCACGCCTAAGTTTCAATTTACTAACTTTTAAAAATATGTGTGCTGGTGGGGGCAGAGACAGGATGGCGGCAGCAATGCCTCTCACTGACATCACATGCATGGCCTGCCTTTCAGAGACAGCTCCTTCCTCCCAAGCTGCCAGCCCTGGCAAGGCCCCCCCAGGTCCCTTGTGTTCCTCAGGCTGAATGTTGATGCTTTATGACACCTCTTTGGTTGCTAACTTCTTGATAGTCCTTAGTCTTCCTCTAATCACGTGTCATGAGGAAGCAGACTTCAAGAAAAGTTAGGAAGAAGGAGGCGACCCTGAACTGGGCTTTGTCCCTACCCTGCTTCTGTTCAGGAATACCCTTGAGGTGAGGACATTGTTTGGACTCCCCCTCCTCAGCCATTGCAGTTCCTGCTCATGAATATTTAGTTCCGGGGCTCAGCTTTGGTCCCGTCAGGTCCTGAAATCTCCAGGGACAGCCCCAGCCACGCTTATCTCATCGCTTTCTGAGCATTGGCCATATTTGTAGTTGTTTTCTAGTTAAACACTTAACTCATTCTTTTTTTCTCCTCCTATGTTTTTGGTGTAAGAGAAAGATCTCGGGCGTCCATCTCTATTTTCCAACAACTAACATTCTTCTGAGCACCAGATTGATCGCCCCACTGCTAGGCTTGATCAATGATTGCCACGTCTCATTCCAAGGGCAGAAGAAACCCAGGCTTTTTTCAGTTCACTGACGCTTGCTCTTTTTATCTGGTCGTTGTGTCTCTTTTTAAGACTTTTTATTTGTCTGAAATTAATGAAACACCTTTCTTCTGTTGTCGTTTCAACATGTTGCCGACACGTTAGTATTATTTAATTCTATTTGGCTTCTTTGGGGACCTAACACAATCCCTGTATAAAAGCAACTTAGCACTTTTATTTTGACTTTTCTTTATTTTTCTGGCTTTCGGTACCCTGGCATCGTAATCTAAGAAAGTGATGGTAAGCCACGCAAAGCCTCTTAGAAAGAACTGCATGCTTTGCTTCACTCTGCAAAGCTTGCCCTCACAGCCGGCGGCAGGACAAGCAGGGACAGGATGAGGGAGGCCCTGGAATGTACAATTTTGAAAGAATCAAAGTAACTCAATATCCTGGAGGCAGTTCTAATAAAATGTCTTTGCACTGTGTTCTTAAATGAAGTGTTTCTTAAAAACCCATCAATTTTAGGAAACTTTAAAAAATATATTTGTAGATGTAAACATGAATGGATAAAGTTTTGGAGTTATTACTATGGCTCCCACCCTAATGATGTGGGTTAATGTGGTTTTGTAAAACACATAATATTTCAGTTTGTTTCGCACCTTGGACACCCTTTTAGTCTGGCTAGACATTTTGGTGTCATCAAATTTTGCCAGGCAATCCTCTTTATTAGTTTTGTTATTGAAGTAACTTAATTTTTGTAAAATGTTACATGCTTATAAGAAATTAAAACAATACAGTCAAGCTCAAATAAAAAACTAAATATCATCATGTTCTAAATATCTCTGTGCACAGAATATTTCACATAAATATGGTTCAGTAATCTACTTTTATTCAATAATAGATTAAAATGTATTTCCTTGTGTCTGAATGTAGATTTATTTCATCATTTTTAAAAGGCAGCACATATCCCACTGTAGGTATGTATCATCATTTACTGAGCAATTTGCCTTGATGAGAATTTTGCTATTACAATTTTTTTTGTACATAACTATATTCATGCTCATGACTTTAGTTCTCTAGGGTAAAATCTTAGAAATGACTTTTCAGGTTAAAATATATGCACAGTATATAATTTGATACACAAATTGCTTCTCATAATCTTACCGTTTTATCCAATCTCTAAGAGTAAACATATTCATCACACACATGGTTACACGGAGAGATGTGACAGACGGTGCTGCCCGGCTGCCCCTGCAGGGCTCCGAGCGCCCCAGTGGGTTCCACATCCCAGCATGCGGTGTGGGCTCTGACGGTGCGAAGCCTGGACCTTCCTCACACGATCCCGGGTGGTGCTGTCTCTCGAATACCGACTCTCCTTCTCACACTATCACAAGAAACATAACACGGCATCATTCACTAAAAGTGAGACTGGGTTACAATTTTTTGGTAACAGTGCATCTCCTATCCTTTTTTCTATACATCATTATTTGGGTGAATTAAGATTTCTGAGAATCTAAATAATTCAATTTGTAGTTTCCTTGGTAATTATAAAATCTGAGAAAAGGTAAGCTGACAAACTGAAGGGAAACTTATCTCCACCTTACAAGGCAGATAGCTCTTTAGTGCTTGTATTTAAGGTGAAATTATTGTTTGTCTTTCGAACAGAACTGGACAAACACTTGCTTGCCTTATTGCTGGGCTCCAAGTGACCTCTGTCCTGTTAACATGGCTTTTCTCCACAAGCCAGCTT